TTTATTAGTTTAATTTTATTTTCATTATTTTATTAATTTTTATTTTTTAAATTTTATTTATTTTTAATCAAAGTGATATTTGAATACTCCAATCAGGTATGACCACCATAGTGCAACCACCACCAACTCACCCATATTCAGCCACTACAGACCATTGTGGCTTTCTTCCCTTTTTATTTTCATCCCTTCCCTCACCCTGCTCTATCTTGGTGCTTCAGTTCTGTAGTCAGCTATCAAAGTTTAGTTTTTAAGTTTGTCTTTACTGACTCTTAGTTTACTTTACATTCCACGTATTAGTGACACCATCCAATATTGAGCTATCTCCTTCTGACTTATTCCACTTAGCATTATCCCTACAAGCTCTGTCTATGTTGCCACAACATGGCACATCCAATTAGTTTGAATCTTGAAGGTTCTCTGCATATAATATCATGTCATGTGCAAATAATGGTAGCTTTACCACTTCTTTGCCAACATTGATTCCTTTTACTGCTATTTATTATCTAATTGCTTTAGTTAGAACTTGCAATACTATGTTAAATAATAATGGTGAGAGTAGACACCCTTGTCTTCTACCAGATCTTGATGGAAAAGATCTCAGTTTTCACCATTGAAAAATGATATTTTGCTATGGGTTTGTTTTAAATGATTTTTATTATGTTAAGGTATGATCCTTTTGATGCATTGTTGGATTCAGCTTGCTAGGTTTTTTATCTTGTTCGTTAGGGAGATTGGTTTATAATTTTCATCTTGTTCGTTAGGGAGATTGGTTTATAATTTTCCTTTTTTGTGTTGTCCTTGTTTAATTTTGGTATTAATGTTGGCCCCATAAAAAGTATTTGCAAATGTACCTCTTTTTTTCATTTTTTTGGATGAATTTGAGCATGATAAGTATTAGTTCATCTTTGAAAGGCTTCACTTGTGAAGTCATCTAGTCTAAACTCTTGTGTTCTGGGAGAGTTTTGATTACTGTTTCAATTTCCTTGCTTGTGATTGGTTTGTTCAGGGTTTATATTTCTTCTCTAGTCTGTCTCAGATGATTGAATAATTCTAGTAATTTTTCCATCACTTCTAGATGATTGAATTTTTTCACATAGAGATATCATAGCAGTCACTAATTATCCTCTAGATCTCTGCAGCATCTGTTGTGATTTCTAACCTGTTGTCTTTGATGCTGTTTGAGATTTCTCCTTTGTTTTGTTTGTGAAGCTTACTAAAGGTTTGGTTATTTTGTTTATTTTTTCAAAGAACCAAGTTTTGGTTTTGTTACTCTTTTGGATTGTCTTTTTAATTGCTATCTCATTTACTTCTACTTTGATTTTTATTATTTCTGTTTCTGACTCTTGGATTTGTTTGTTCTTTTTCTAATTCCTCAAGTTGAGAGAGAAGATTATTTATTTGAGCTGTTTCTTGAAGTGGGCATGTATTGCTATATTTCCCTCTTAGTACTGCTTTTTCTGCATCCCATAAATTTTGGATGGTTGTGTGCTTATTTGTCTTGAGTTAATTTTTTAAGTTCCTCTCTAATCCAGTGGTCTCTCAATAGTGTGTCATTCATTTTCTAGATATTAAAATATTTCCCTGCTTTCTTTTGATAGGCGATTTCTAATTTGATACCTCTGTGGTCTAAGAAGATTTTGGGTATGATTTCAATATTTGAGAATTTGTTGATATTTATTGTGTCCCAGAATATAGTCTATTCTGGAAAGTGTCCCATGCATGCTTGAGAAAAATGTGTGTTGCTTTTTGGGAGTGCAGTGCCCTGATGTGTCTATGAGATTTAATTCTCTATTTAAGGCTATTGTTTATTTTTTGTCTGCTTATCTGTCCATTGGTGAGAGTGGGTTGTTGAAGTCTGCTTCCACAAATGTGTTTTTTTCCAGTGTTTGTTTTCAGAGTTGATAGTAATTGCCTAAAATATTTTGGTGCTATTTCATTTGCTGCATAAACATTGATGATTGTTATGTCTTGTTGATGTATCATTCCCTTAATCATTATATAATGTCCCTCCCTGTCTCTTATTACCTCTTAGAACTGTAAATCCAGTTTTTCTTATATAAGTATAACAGTCCTTGCCTTCCTTAGAGTACCATTTGCTTATTTGATCGTTTTCCAATCCTTTTATGTTGAGTCTTTACCTGTTTTTCGGAGTTTAGATGTGTCTCCTGGAGACAGAAGAAGGTTGGATTCTGTTTCCTGGTCCATCTAGATTCTCAGTGTCTTTAAATTGGTGAATTCAGATCATTTATGTTTAAAGTGATTATTTTTATGTGATAGTCCAGTTTATTCTTAAGTTTTGCTGCCAATTTATTCTTAACTTTTGTGAGTTGACATATAATTTTGTGGGTAAATAAAGAATTCTTCAATTCTTTTTTTTTTTTTCCATGAGAATATGCCTCTCATAGTTTTTTTTTTTTTTAAATAATAAATTTTATTTTTATATTCCCCCATACAATTGCAAAAGCCCCATTCTGACCCCAATCCTTCCCTTCCCGCCCCCCACCCCCCAAAAAGTGTCTCTGGTTCATAGTTTTTTGTTGATTTTGATTTTCACTTTCTTATAGTTATTCATTTTCCTGGTCCCTTATTTAAGTTTTCTAGATTCCTGCTATGAGTGAGACCAAAGAATTCTTCAATTCTTTATTCAATTCTTTGTGCATGTTTTTCTTTCTTTTTTTTTTTTTTAATTTTTTTTTTCAAGATTTATTTATTTATTTATACAAGCACTGGGTACAGTCAGAAGTGCAGGAGGGTGAGAGAATTCACCAGAGCCAGAGCAGGGAGCAGAGCAGGCAGAAAGACCGAAGTACACTGCTAAGGGGAGCAGCGGGCGGCAGGAGAGGTCTGCGCACCATGTGGGACCCTCCTCCAGTGGCCGGGGAGCAACCGGGGATCAAAGCGGCACTGCAGAGGCTGTGGGCAGCTTCGCAACCCAGCGCTCAACCACTGCGCCACCAGGGAGGCCCTCTTTGTGCATGTTTTTCTTTTTAATTTCAGTGTATAAGCTCATTTCAATATTTCTGGGAGAGATGGTTTATATTTGAAAACTCCTTGAGCTAGTCCATGTCTGAAAATACTTTATTGCTTCTTCATATCTGAAGGTGAATCTTGCAGGATAGAGTATTCTTGGATGACAGTTGTTCTCTTTGCCATTTTGGAACATGTCATTCCATTTTCTCATTGCTTGCAGTGTTTCTTCAGAGAAGTCTGATGTTAGCTTTATGGGGGTAACTTTATCGTTTATCTGCCTGCCCCCTTGACAGCATCAGTATTCTTTCTTTGTCCTGAATTCTTGGGAATTTCACTACTATATGCTAGGAATGAGAGGTGGAGCAGAGTCACCATGTGTAACAATAAAATAGATAGATAATAATAGATAAACTGGATAAGCACTTACAAGAAAACACAGGAATAAATCTTGATGATTGTGAATTATGCAGTGGTTTTTCAGATATAACACCAAAAGCAAAATTAATAATAACAACAAAAAGATAGCATAGATTTCATTAATGTTTAAAAAGTGTGCCTCAAAGTGCATCATTATGAAAATAAAAATACAACCTTCCCCCATAGGAGAAAATATTTGCAATCATATTTCTGATAAAAGTCCAGTATAAAGAACTCTTTCAAGACAGTAATAACAAAACAAATAATTCCATTAAAAATGGACAAAATATCTGAATATACACTCCTCCAAGGAAGTCATAAAATGACCAATTAACACATGAAACAATGTTCAACATTAATAGCTATCAAAAAGTACAAACAACTACCACATTGAATTACTATTTCAAAACCACTAAAGTGACAGACCAAAATTTGGTTAAAATAACAAATGTTGGTGAGAATACAGAGAAATTGGAATACTAATATACTGCTAGTGGGAATTTGAAATGATATAATCTCTTTGGAATCTTGCCTGATTTCCTTGAAATATTAAATGTAGTATTAACATATGATCCATTAAATCCCCTCCGAAGTATATACACAGACCATTGAAAACACATTTCCATACCAAAAAAATTAAGAAACTGTACACAAATATTTACAGCAGCATTATTTTTTTTATTTATATATATTTCACATCATTCTTGTACAATGCATGCTTTCTCCTCTCAGGTGTAGTCCCCCTGGAATTCCCACCACCAATTCACCCGTGCATCACCACCATAGTCCCTTGTGCTCTTCCCTCCCATTTTGCTCCTTCACCTCTTTCTCTCCTGCAGAATATCTCTGATTTACAGTTGCCTATTGATTTTGATTTTTAATTTATTATGATTATTTTCCCCCTGATCCCTTATTTGTTTCCTCTACATTCCTCCTATAAGTGAAACCATCCGATATTCTTAATAGCCAAAAGGAAACAAATCAAATGTCTATTTACTGATGAAATAAAAATTGATATATTCTTACAAGGAAATAGTATTCAGTAATAAAAAGAAATGAAATGCTAACATACGCCTTAACAAAAATGAACTTTGAAAACATTATGTTAAGTGTAATTATTCACAAAATATTATATGATCACATATGATTCTGATATGGTATATGAAGTACCATATATAGTTAAATTATGTAAATTTCTGGGCAGTTTATATGAAATATCCACATTAGTCGAATCCATAGAGACAGAACATAGATTAGTAGTGGGTTAGGGCTGAGGGAATGAAAGAATAAGGTGATAGCAATAAGGCATGGCTTTCTTTCAGATGGTGAGAGCTTTCTAAGATGGACTATGGTGACCGAAGGGGTCTGTTTTAGGGAAGAAAAAAACTATTCCAAAAATTAGGCTGTACTGATTGTTGTACAAGCCTCCCACTATATTAAAAAACATCAAATTTTATACTTTAAGTGAGTGAATAGTATAATATGAATTATATCTCAATAAAACTAAAGTAAAAATGTTGGAACATTTTTCACTGTTATTTTTCAAATATTTTCTTCTCCCTATCCCCTTGAGACTCTACTCAAAAATGATTTTTCGTAATATTGTTCACCAGGTCTTGAAGCTATGCTGATGTGTTCAATCTTTTTTGTTTTCTGTAATTCAGTTTCTTTTGCTGTATCTTCAAGTTCATATTTTTACCAGTGTTAAGCTCCTCCAGTGAATTATTCATGTAACTATTGTATTGCTTCATTGCTAGAAGCTCTATTTTTTTCTTGTTTAATACCACCATTTGACATCATTGTGGTGGTGTTTTTTTTTTAAGTACTTGTGTGTGTTTGTATATGTGTGTGTGTGAAATTATGAATATGTATAAAAACTTTTTAAACCTTGCTAATTCCACTATCTTAGTCATTTCTGGGTGGTTTCTATTTATTGGTTTTCTCCTGGTTATGATTCACATTTTCCTACTACTTTGGATGTGTAGTAATTTTTTATTGATTCAGCATTACAAAAGCTACTTTGGGACTGTGGAGTTTTGTTCTTTTCTTCACTATTCTGTGAGACAGTTTACTTTTGGAGGGCTTTGGGGGGGGGGTTGTTTTATTTTTTAAAGATTTGTTTATTTATGCATACAAGAACTGGGGTACAGGCCTGAGGTGCAGGGGATGAGAGGATTCACCAGAGACAGAGTGGGGAAGAGAACAGGCAGACTGACTGAAATACATTGCTGAGGGGAGCAGTGGCAAGACAGGAGAGTGCTGTGCCATGTGAGTAACTCCCTGGCTGGCCAGGGATCCAACTAATGCTGTAGAGGTTGCGGATAGCTTCACAGTGCTGTGCTTAACCCTTTGCGCCACCAGGGAGGCCCAAGACAGTTTACTTTTCGATCACATTGAACCCTTCAAGGCTTGTTTTTAAGTTTATAGGTATGAGTTTAGGGGAGTCTTTACTTTGTGCTCGTTTAGTCCTACTGACAAAATGTGACCTTTCTGGAGTTTCTGCTGATTAACAACCCATTCAGGCAGTTCAGAACATGAATGTTTCCCAGCCCTTTTGAGTTTTGGGAGTTGTTCAGCTTATAACTGTCCATTCTCTGTCCAGCCTTATAGGGTTTTACACAGGAAATGCCTATGGAAAATTCTTGGGGTCTTTGCCTAGCTCCCTCCTCTACAGTTGTCTGCCCTACAAATTCTAGTGATCTCCTGGAACTCCAATCTGCTTCTTCAACTTACTGAGATGACTGTGTTCTTTTGGGATCTCCCTTTCTGCATCTACGTCTGGAAGGTGTTTCACTTATGGACTGTTCCCCTGAAATTCATGTTGATGCCCTAATTAACCTTCAATGTGACTATATTTGGAGATGGAGTCTTCAAGGTGGTGAAGTTGAAGTCATAAATGTCATAAATGTGAGGTGCTAATCCCACAGGACTTGGGACTAGCACCTAAGTAGACACAAGTGATCTCTCCCCCACACCCTGCATATACTCACAGAAGGTCATGTGAGAACTCAGTGAGAAAGATCAGACACGACAGAGAAAAGAGGCTTTACTGGAAACCAAACCTCTTAGCACCTTAACTTTGGTCTTCTAGCCTTTAAAACTGCAAGAACATAAATTTGTTATTTAATTCATCTAGTCTGTGGTATTTTGTATGGCAGTCATCGCTGACTATTACAGCCTGGACCAGTATTTGTAATTCCTTGCTATTTTCCTTCCTCTTGGAGTTCAAGGTCATGTACTCCCTGTTGTCCAATTCCTGAAAGGAGTTATTTCATTTATTTCATCTATTTCTAGTTAGGGTTAGTTGGGTCCCAATTACTACATCATGGTCAGAAGCATGATTCCTGTTACCACACACCTGTTATCACACATTTTTTCATCTTTTAACTAAATGGTTTTTCAGAAACTTATGAGAAAGGAAAAAGATATTTCTGCTTATCTTGCAAGAACAGCAGGGTGAGCTTACAACAATGGGGCAAAAGTACCCCTTTCTCTTTTAAACACGGAAAAAAAAATACTTGGATTTTCCTAAGTTGACAAGTTGTGTTTCCGAGGGCAGGCCCAGAAGAGAGTCTGTGTTCTTGAGGTGACCGCTCATTGCCCAGACCAAAAATAGCCATGGTTAATGGAACTGAGATGCCTGATTTATGGTTAAATGGACAACATTCAGAAGTAAGGGATGCTCCAGACCTAAACTCAAGTTATACCTTATTTAGCAGAAAGCGACCAATCAGATTCTACCAATTTGCATTTTCTGTATTTGTTCTTCAACTCCATAAGTACCGCCCAAAGCCTCAACCTTGGGATTCTGATTTTAGTCTTGCCTCCAGTCTCCTGCCAAGTGACCTCACACCAGGTAAACTTTCTTAAAAGCTGGTGTGTGGCAATGTTTTTTGGCTTCTGTGCCATCAGGTAGTAGAACCACATTCTGCAACAAGTCACAATCTCATTGTGAGGGAGCCTTAAAAAAATCTTTAATCACTGCCTAATATTCTCTCAGAGAAAAAAAGTGCAGGGCCTCCCCTGATGGTGCAGCGTTGAGTGCTGGGCTACAAAGCTGCCCCCAGCCTCTGCAGCGCTGGTTCAATCCCCGGCCACCAGCGAGGGTCCCATATGGCACCATAGACCTCCCCTGCTGCGCCCGCTGCTCCCCTCAGCAGTGTATTTTGTCGGTCTGCCTGTTCTGTTCTCCGCTCTGGCTCTGGTGAATTCTCTCACCCTCCTGCGCTTCTGACTGTACCCAGTGCTTGTATAAATAAATAAATAAATCTTTTTAAAAAAAAAAGTGCATTATGCCATCTTGACTGAGGTGGAAGTGAGAATCCAGGTGTAGCGGGCAGGCCAGCATATGTCTGCAAGACTCCAAATTTCAGCAAGACTTATAGGCCCCACCCACACTTGCATTGACATGGAGGTTGTCATTCAGTCCACAGGGGAATCAGTTTAATTTCCACCATACAATTTTCTTTGAAATTAACAAGAAAAGTTAATCTCTCAAATTAATATCAAACTGGTATTTAATATGTATTCACAGTACATATTATGAATTGTCCCTGAAGCGTAAAGCCAAGATTATACACTAGACTGGGCCACAAAGGGCAAAAATGACTTCTCAGAAAAACAAGAAAGAATAATCAAGCAAAACCAGTAGATAACTTTAATTACAGTGAATTTTGTGCTCTCAGGGCAAGAAGGGAACCTTCCTTAGCCAATGAGCAGAAAATAGATACCAAGAGGAATTTAAATGATACCCAAAGGCTAAAAGTTAAATTGTAGATTTATGAGACTGTAGATTTACCTATGGTAGTCAGCTTGACACTGAAATCTAAAGTGAAAGGAAGCTGCAGAATACAGAGGTATTGCAACCACAAAAGCTGACAGATACATACAGATATACAGATATATACATATATGTGCATATATACACATAAACACATACTAGTATATACTGAGTAATATATACATTATATACTGAGTAGACTATTGTGTGTGTATATATATACATACATGCCTTCCTCCATTCCCACCCACCCTTACACCCACCCACACACATCCTTACTACAACCAGAATCACCTTCTAAAACCCAGATGTGCCCCCATTGCTCATCTGCACAAACCCTTCCATGGCCATCACACACAGAACGTAGCTCAGTCTCTCAGCTCAGTGCCCACAACCATCTTTCCAGCCTACTTCCCACTGTGTCACCTATCCCTCTCCTCCTGCTCCCATGATATTCTATGGCCCAGCCCTCTTCCCCTACAGGAATGATCACAAAGCCCCTGTGCCTCTGAGCTTCCTCATGTCTAAAATACCGTTCCTGGGGCCTCCCTGGTGGTGCAAGGGGTTAAGCACCGCACTATGAAGCAATTCGCAGCATTGAGTTCGATTCCTGGCCGCCCAGGGAGCAACCCACATGGCACAGCAGACCTCTCCTGTCTCGCCGCTGCTCCCCTCAGCAGTGTATTTCGTCAGTCTGCCTGTTCTGTTCCCTGCTCTGGCTCTGGTGAATCCTCTCAGTCCTCCCACCCCACACACACACCTCTGACCTATACCCCAGCTCTTGTATGCATAAATAAATAAATCTTTTTAAAAAAATAAAAATAAAATACTGTTCCTTCTGCCTCCCTACCCTCCCCCATTTTAAAAAATTCTACCTTCATGGGTTTATATCCAATGCCTCATTCTTTACATTCCTATTACCCTCTTGTTAAAGACTTCTTTCACCAGGGCTTTTATTTTTTTTTCTGTGTTGCTGTGTTTAACATTCTTATGAGGTTCTATCTTTTGTTATAAGGTCCTTAAATGCAGGAAATATGCTATATATTTTCAAAATTGCTCTTTCCATCTCACTTAGTGAGATAAGCCTAGGTGAACTAAATCAAGAACTGACAACAGGGTATACCTTGTATCCCGTTTAAACAGGTAGACTAAATCACCGCTAGCAGGAGCTACCTGATATCTCATTTTAACCTGTTTGACATATCTCACCAGATTTACAAACAGCCATGTTCCTACAAAATGGTGCCATATTCTGACAAAACATGCCGTATTTTGAGAAATCTGGTTTTAACAACTGATAACTACACAATTTCCTGAAAAAGGGGGATAGTGGAAGACCCACATGCAGATAGTAAAAGAACTGATCTCAAGTCAGGCTAATGAGGAGGACTCATTAGAATGCTAACACACCCCTGGCTGGAGATAGGAGATGCTAATGAGACATGATGCATGAAGCAGCATGTAACCCAGCGGAACATGCCGTGTAGTCCAGCCCAAAACATGCTAAGAGTGCTCCTCTCTACCCCACCCTGATAAACAAACCCCTTAAAAACCTTTTCCCAGCTTCCCAAGGGGAGCCAGTCTGAAGAGCTCTCCTTCAGTGCTGGCACCCTTGCATTTGAGCATAAACCTAATAAAACCTTGTCTGGATTTAATCTGCCTCCTCGTCTTGTCAAATTCTTTTACAAGGGCCAGAACCTCAACAAAGACCCCAGGTCCATTAACACTAGCACATATAAACGCCCACAAAATGAGTTTTTAGAAAGCTAAATGGAAATTTTATTCTGAAATTGTAAAGTTCCAAGAATAGAATTGACTTTAAAGTTGTTTTGTTTGGCCTCCTGTGCAAACCCCAGAGCTATTGTCCGCCTCTGTCAGTCTAAGGGAACGTACAAGTCCAGGGAATAAGCATGGATTTTAATTGTTGGGAGACATTTCTGAATTTTACTGGTCTGAATGTTCTTCACCTCAATAATACAAATGTCTTGAAGGTGAGAGGAGAATTTCCATGCCAAACCCAGTCTTTTAAAGTGGTATCTTTCAAAGCTTCTGATCACAGCTTTACTTTCCCACACAAATCCACAGGAACTTCCCTAGAAAACACTGGTGTCTCCTCTTCATGTAACCTTTCTGTTCTCTGGGTGTCTCCTAATAACTTCAAGTCCTCATAGTTCCCTGACCTTTTTCCCCTAATTAAAAAGAAAAGGTTTAATAAAATTATTACTGGTTGTTGGCTTGTTAAATTTACAATCTTCCCAATAAAAATGTTTGTCACCTAATTTAAACTTTTTTTCATTATTAG